CCGGTCTCATTATTTTTTCTTGATCTATCGACATCCGCTTTCACATATTTTTTAAGATATCCCCAGCTCATGTATTGGGGGCTCCATTCCAAATTTATTCCCGGAGCCTGAAAATCGTAAACATCTACATTATTCTATGGAAAATAAAATTAAAGATCAATCAAAGGTTTTGAAAATATCGATAAAGAGGATGTTGGAATTTTATTGAATGCAGAAGATCATGGAATATTTATAAAAAAAATTAATAATGAAGACGAATTTCTGCCGAAAAATTGTTGAAACACGTTTTCAACTTCAAATTTGTTTCTTATGAAAATGATCTTCATTTAGGAAGAAGATTTATTCTTAATTGATTAGTGCTAAATGCAATAACTAAAAGATAAAAAAAATAAAAATAATGAAAAAACAAATTTACACTGTTATTTTAAAATGTAATTTCACTTTGTTCATAAACTGACTTTTTATTTAAAAATACTTTTCTTTGTTCAACACGAAGCTTTTCATTTTTTTTTATAAACGTAAGCAATTCTGATCGTAATATGTTTACCTCTGAAAACGAAGTTTCATTTAACCTTTAACTACTCGCTCAGTGAAATTTATATGTACTACTCGCGTGTATTTTATACAGCACATGTATTACTGCCAGACGGATTGCAAAAACACAAGATAAAACTTTTTCATGTTAACTAATGCTTTTTTATTAGATTCATAACAATTTGTAATACATTAATATAATAATTTCTGAATCAGAATTGTCATAAAGCGTGAGTAAAGGTATCAGCATCGTCTGCTATTACACCAACACTGCAGAGCATGAATGAATATACACAAAAACAACTTATTTGTGCCGCAATTAACACAATATTGCAACGGCAATTAGTAAACAGTTTGGGCATAGGTTACGTTAAGTTTCATAGATGGGAGAAAGAAAATATAGATGTGGTATCATTTCTTAGAAAATTCGTATAGTTTTAATACCGGCGCGAATAGTTAAAGGTTAAGGAAGTAATTTTGTTAATCGACTTATGAATGTATATGATTTCGTTTGTTATAATTATTTTTTCACTAAATTAGAATATATATATATATATATAAATATGTCAAAATATTATTAATAAATAAATCATATTTTTCTTATTAAAGTAATATTGTAATACTTAAAGATTATGAATATTATATTAACATAATGCTATTAGCTAGATAGGTACAATTATGATCTGCTTTATGACCAATTATGATCGAACGTAAATCTTACAATGGATTGGATACGGATACTAATTTAAATTCAATGTCGTTCCGCCCAGATATGCGGCATTCCAGATAATTGACTGTGCATACTGCAATGTTTAATGCAGCGGTCGAAATTATTACCATTATCGCCGTTCATTATTAACAATAAATAACAATAATAGCAACGATTTTCGATCGAGGTCGTGCGTTGAAAGTAACAATACGATCGAGCATACAGACACTCATTACAGGCACGAATGGTTGAGATATAGATGTTTACGTTAGGAATATGAGGAGAGGCGGTTAAACGAAATGGTAGGATGATTGTATTCACGTAATTGGACACTCCTCGAGGAGATCTCGCAGTAATTGGGTGGTGTTTATTTGGTAATTGTAAATAGGTCATATGTAGACATTCAATACTGCATCACGTTTGCTTGTTTGAATTCAATTATATTGTAATTTCAGCTACGGGCGTACTTTTTACGACCATTATTATGTATACAACACATAATTGGAAGGGTTTTCTGGATGAAATCACTGAAACTTCAATACAATTAAAAAATAATAATAAATAATAATAATAATTCAATACGAAGTTAAGTTGAATATCCAAATTTAAAATATTTCATTTTATAAAGTAGACTTTTTCAAATATTAGCGCATTCATAAAATTATTTCATATAATATAGAATGATTTTAAACTTTTAGTCGCAAAAGTCGAAGTGAAATACTCTCAATATTGAAACGTGTTAATTTTCTTAGCGAAAGGATTATGCAGCAAACAAACTGCATCAATTAAAAACACAATTAATTACTTACGTCACAACACCCTTTACTATGCGGTGGATTTAAATTTGCAAATGATTCAATTAACATTTTCACTTGGGCCCCAGCTCTATTTCATACAAAATTACAGTAAAAACAGCAAGTTAACGAATATTTAATGCACACATTTTAAAGTTAAAGCAATAACCGTGTATCTTTGTGCTATAAAACTGCATTATTTAATAGAGTTTTCGTAATGATCTATTTGCTGGCAACGATAATTACAATAAACTAATTTCGAACGAAACAAACAAACATACATTAGTGCAAATGCATTTGGAACCTTTATTAATTATTAAAATGAACGTAAAATGTAATATTAAAGGCGAATCGATTTCCGCCCACGCAATTAATCGAGTTTTCGATGAAAAATGCAATTGTCGCGTGATTCAGTGTAAAACCGTGGAGAGAAAAAAATTAGGCGCACGTTATGCAACCAGATTACCATGGTCCATGTGCTCTCCTTTTCTGTTGAATGGCGGAGTGAATGTGATAGAGTGAGATGCATATGGCTGGATGCGCACTGCGTAATACCACATTCTAACTATCTTTAAACCTAATGCAATTGATTTACATCTTTCAGCTTGAAAATTCGTTCTTGGTGAAAAGGGAGACTAAAAAAACGTACAACGGTTGACCAAAATATTTGAATTTCGGATGTTTCACGGTGCTTTGTGCGTTACAAAAATAAATGAAAAGAAAAAAAGAAGAAACAGTGATTAATGAGTGTACTTTGCCAGTGGCGTGGATCAAAATTGGATTCATATTCGAATGAAAGTTGATAATATTTTACTTAATATACGCAAAAAAAAATGCATTGATACTTGTGTAACATAATTCGCTAAAGGAATATTGATTCATTTGCAAATATGATTTGCTTAAAGAATACAACTAGATATTTTTACTTTTAAGCTTCTTTATTAAATATTTTTATTTGTTAATGTTTGCTGATAAATCATTTAAATGTTGATTGTTGGGTAGTTTCTTTACTTAAATATTATTCGTAATTTAATCTCTACCTTAAGTAAATACTTTTTTCTAATATTATTAATATAACAAGCTCTTAATTGAAGTAATTCAAACATAAATTGAATAATTAATGATATATATGATATTTATACATATGTAGTCATACCAATTACTGTTATTTATGAAAATGTACTT